AGAACATGATGAAAGGGTTGAAGGCTGCAGGTTGTGACTGTGCGGCGAGATCAGCCTGTGTTTCTACAGCTCACTATTCATCTCTGCTCACCCAGTAGGAAACTCTTTCTTTCCACACACACACACACACACACACACACGCTTTTGACACTGGCGCACACGCGAACTCGCAATCAAAGGCTGTATCTTCTGGGAATTTACTTTGGCTCTTTTATCTTGTAACCGAGGAAGTGAGCGAGGGACAGGGGAGCGAAAAAACAACGTTATGATGTTTGTTTCCCTCCTGTTTTATTTGTATTGGCTTCTGTTGCTGGAATATGAGACTTACCTGCTCTGAGGTGTAACTTGGAGTTCTCCTTGTGGCTTCTGAAGACTTGGATGTCTCTGTTAGGCCAACAGGGTTTTAAAAATACAGCCATTGAGTTACTTGTTGTAGATTAGTATGAGTAACGTTAGCAAAACGATAGCAGTATTGAATGAAGAGAAGACGACTTTAGACGACTAAACCGGTGTAATGTTGAAAGATTTGAACGCACTGAGGGAAATCAGTCACAAGCTTTAAAACGAAAAATGAATTTAAGTGCAAAAATATATAAAAAGAGTCTTTTGTTATTCATTTTGCTGCAAACTGTGAGGAAACGCCAGTCTGGAAAAACCATGAAAAAGCTCTTACTGACCCCTAGCGTTTAAAGAGATAGTACACCCAAAATGTAAATAGTTTATTTAATCTGTGCTTGTTCCAAACTAGTTATATCTCAAATATATAGATATTTTGAAGAATGTTTGAAACAGGTAACCACTGACTTCAATAGTATGAAAACAAATAGAGTTTTCCAATATTCAAAGTCTCAAAAATACTCAAACTGGTTTGGAACAAGTAGTGGTGAATAAATAATGACAATTTTTCATTTTTGAGTGAACTAACTGAACTTTAACTGAAGTTTGAACTCAAAGTAGTGTGTATTTTCATGTTTTTTTACTTTCCTGCCCAGTTTAATTCACAAAACAAATGTAATTCTAGTGATGGTGAGGTCATATATTTACATAAAAAGTCCTTCTGCATATATCCTATTAGGTGAGTAAAACACTGTTAAATATAGGCTACTTACCAACATTATTTTACTTAAACTCACCACTTTGCAAGTATTAATTGTACAGTGCTAAAAGGCATAGCTCACCTCAAAAATTGACTAACGTTCTAGTTGTTCAAAACCTTTGAGGTTTTTCTTTTTTTGTTGAACGCACAAAAAATATATTTTGATGAAAGCTGAAAACCTGTAACCATTGACTTCCATTAGCAGAAAAACTAATACTATGGAAGTCAATAGTTACAAGTTTCTAGCTTTCTTCAAAATAGCTTTTTGTATGTTTAATAGAAGAAATAAATGGTTTGAAAAAAGTCAAGAGCGAGTAAATGATGACATGCAACAAAGGCTCATTCGTAGCCCTATTTAAAACGTAGCCCTATTTACATTTGTGGAGATCGCAAATTATGTAGCCAGAGGAACGTATAAAGAATCTTTAAAGCGAATGCTATGGGGTGGTATGACGCAGACGGGGTTCGAGTTCAGCAAAGAACGTTTTCAGAAAGCAGGCAAGACAAAAACAAAAAATAAAATAAACACATAAATAACAGGGTGAGAATGTAGTAAAATCTGAAAATGTGGTAAAAATCAGGCGAGGGCTTTTTATGGCTGCTTTTTAAAACTGTTGGTTGGGTTTGTCGGTTTTGAGTTGGCTTTTGAAAACACTATTGGTTGGGTTTAGGGAAGGAAGAGGGTGGGTCAGTCGAGTCAGTCAGTCGACAGCGGCTTCTAGTGGATTTACGTGAGAACAGCAGGCACAACGTGAGATAAATTTGAGATCTGAAGAAGCATACACAGTGGCCTCTGGTGGATTCGCGAAAACAAAAACTGCAAAGAAAAAAGTACCTCCTGGGACATATTTGGTGCTTTCCAGAAATGTATATATTGTTACGTTTTCAGAATGAGCCTGGGTTGATAAAGATGACAATTTTAATTTTCGGGTAAACTCTCCCTTTAACTATGTCAAATCAAGATATGTAAACATCCATTCAATATAAAATTAAATATATAATATAAGTTCTGAAAGCAAGAAGAAAAAAAAGTTTTTTCAACATAATTCAAGCACACACTCGACTAAAACATTGGCACTCTTGGCAAAAATGGATTTTATTTAGAGATGTGCGTCACATCAAATTCTCACTCATTTCTACAGGCTCTGTAACTGCAGCACTGATATATTCAGCTCAACACCTTTCAGCACTGACTCATACCAAACACTTCTGTACAGGCGTCCGATATAATCACAATCCAAACACAAGGTAAAGCTCAACGATTACAGCATACCTTTAAAATAAAGTGGAACAGACCTACGTGTTTGGCTATTTGACTAATTATATGAAGAGTTAATTTGCAAAAACTTATTTGCAATGGAACTCTTTGATATTCAATGTAAAGCACAGATTCAGAAAACTACTAAGAAAAATATTCACATAAAAAAAAAAAAGATTTTCATCAATAAAGACATCCTCTACAGCTGAAATATTTTAAAGAGGGCAGTGCTTGTGTGTGAAACATAAATGTGACACTTTCAGTGCCGTCACTAGAACTTATTTCAAAGTTATGCCCAGGTATCTATAAAAGTAAGAAGCTCAAGTTTGTTTTTATTAAATGCTTTGAGTTGGAAAATACTACACATACAACCCGGGGCCAGAGGAATACTAATATAACAGCTGCATCAATGCTTAAAAATAATAATGCCAACAAAGATGTATGGATTAATATAATGAACTATAGTGCCCACAGACTGCTGGATGAACATCTAATGCATATAGCACACAACATTTCAAAGTAATTGTCTAATGAATGTGGGAAAAAAGGGTTTCAAGCATTGTGCGTCAACTGCATTGCTTTAGTGCACATATTCAAGCATACAGTAAATCCATAGTCTCTGTATCACTGCTAAAATAGTATTATAAATAACAGCACACAGTTTAGAAGAGCTTTTTAAAGGCTGGTTTACACATTTGTTTGTGGTTAAAATTTAAAAATGCAGTTCGGCGGAAGTTTAGATATTTACATGACACCATTTACAACTAAAACATGAAAGAATGCGTTTTGACTATTCATTTACATTGCAATGCCATGTTGAGGAACTGAAAATGCTAATTTTTAAAACTGAGTCAAAGTGCATTGCTGTGTCTGAAACCGCATTTTTCTATACTATACAGTACGCTAAAATCAGTATGCGAGCCGAGTAGTATGTCCGAATTCATAGAATTCGAAAATCATTATGCGAGAAGTACCCGGATGACTTACTACTTCCGGCAAGATTCTGGAGTGCTAATCCCATCCATGCTGCGCTATCCCATGATGCCCCGTGAGCGAATTCATGAATGGGAGAAAAGCAACGCAACTGACGAAGGTAGGTCACGTGACCATGACAAAATGGCGGATGTAGTACATCTGAATTCCATTCATACTGTAGAGAACATACTTTTCTAACTGCCGAGTAGTACATTTAAATTCAAATGCAGTGCCTACTGAGTAGTAGGCGGTTTTGGACGCAGCCCCAGTTTCTGAAAATGATACTGTTTTGCTCTCTGTGTGTAAAATGCAAATAAAGCATTTCCTTTAAAAAGAGACATCACCACCTACCGGCCAACATATGCAATGCATACTACAGATTTAAGCCCCTTACGGAATACACAATTTTTTCCAGATTTTGTCATAGTGCACAACAACCAATGTCATGTCAGCAATGCTTCATGGCATCAACACAAAAGTCCAGCATGCCTAATTTTTTCCATCACATGGGTAACGTTTGCCAATAGGAGCACAGAATTTCTTCTGTGCACAACTTTTAAAATGGCAAAAAAAGTTGAAAAATTATAAAAACTTTGTCGACAGCTGTTGGTAGGAAACCAGTTCTGAGGATCCAAAAGGAACTCTTGCCATTCATTTTAGGATTCTAAACATAGATTTCTATCAGGGTACACACACCGGTGCCGCAAGTCGGTGGCTATTCGCGATGCCAAACTACAACTTAGGACACTGTTCATATTTCTGCTACGCCACAGAGCTCCATCTGAATAACTTAATTATAAATTACATGCGAATGTGTGCGTCCGGTGTGCGTTACTTCCAACTTTTTATATGCGAATTGCAATGCGGTGCATCCGGTGTGCGGCCCCCTGAAGGCTACATCCTAAATCACATATTCCTTACTATATAGTTTGTGAAAAAACAGTATGTGAGTCGAGTAGCATTTCCAAATTCATAGTGCACAAAAAAAAACAAAAAAGTAAGCAAAAAGTACCAGGATGACCTAATATCCAATAGACACTACGCTATCCCATGATGCCATGTGAGATTATTCATGAATCAAAGTAAATCGACGCAACTAACACGGGTAGGTAATGTCATTATGACAACATTCATACTAGATAGAATGTATTTTTCTAATGGTCAAGTAGCAAATTCTTTTCCAAATGTAGTACCTACTAGAGTAGTAGGCTATTTCAGATGCAGCCTAAAGGCTAGTACACACTGGGACGCTTTTCGTTTGCGTTTATCGTCAGCGTTTTTCAGGATTCAAACCCAAGCGATTTTCACTGGCATCAAGCAGAAGAGTATGCAAAATCACTCCTTGATGTTAGATGGCGCTAAACAACTTTAAGCTTCTGACACCCGCTTGTAACACAGAAGGAGAAGACAAAGTAGACAAGCTTGTTGTTATGGATGGTTCAAGCAGCAGCTCCAGCTCTAGCGATGAAGAAATGATTATTGTTCACCAGAGCAATAAGCAGTTCCACGTTTATATCGCCTCTGGGCATCTTCTTCAATGTGCGCTCGCATTGACAGTTTTTCGCTTGAGCGCCTCCAAGTGCTGTTTACTGTAACTTCAGCAGCTCCTTGCACGTGAACAAAAGTGGCAATCTGATTGGTGGAGAAGGTTTTGACGCAGCACGTCAAAACAAAAAAACGAGCATAAGCCGTTTTTTTTTTTTAAATGACGGTTTTGCGCCTGCTGTTTTGCACGTTGGGGTGCACAATCACATTGACGCCCTTTATTTTGTCACGAGGCATTAAACGTTGATGGAAAACACGAGCAAAAAACGTCCCGTGTGCACGGGCCTGAAGGCTACTTATCTAATGTTTTTGTTCAGAAAACACACATTTACAGTATATGAGGGAAAATGCAGTCTGTGGGAAACACTTGAGACATTTGTAATGTGTGCAAATCTTGATGGCAGATGTAGACATCATTTGATAATACTCATGAAGCAACGTGTAGCCTGACACATTTTGTACCCACAACATGTCAAGATTTTATCTAAACAAAATAACATAATCTGACGTAACCGACAATAAAAATCATGTAGTCTGAATGAGGCTTAAGTCTATTGACATGCATGAGTATTTGACAACCACAAAACAACAATGGCGAATTACAGGACCATATGTCCACAGGCACAAAGTTTCTTTACAAAATGACATTGCCACCTACTGGCCTGGCTGCATAATGCAGTGTTTTACTGTTTTTTTTATGTTTTAGTGTTTAATAACAATGCTGTTATCATACACACACATTTTTAGTCCAATGTTTTCATGTAAATGTACACTGAGTGCTGCGTTTTTAAAATACTGTGTCGAGCACGAGACGCTGTGATAGCCGCAATGGACA